GGGTGAACTTGCTCTCATCTGTGAAAAGCACAGGGTGCCAGTGGCGGACTTGCCAATTGCAGTGCTCTGTTGCAAATGCCAAACAAGCTCCATGGTGCCGGGCAGTGAGCACAGGGCTCACTAGAGGACGTCGGGCCCTCAGGCCCCCCTCCTGAAGTCTGTATCACATTCACACCAGTGGCCTGCTGGAGGTTGTTTTGTAGGGCTCTGGCAGTGCTCCTCCTGCTCCTCCTTGCACAAAGGAGCAGATACTGGTCCTACTGATGGGTTGTAGATCTTCTACTGCCCTGTCCAGCTCTCCTGAAGTAACTGCTTGTCTCCTGGAATCTCCTCCATGCTCTTGAGATTGTGCTGGGAGACACAGCAAACCTTCTGGCAATGGCACATATTGATGTGCCATCCTGGAGGAGTTGGACTACCTGTGCAACCTCTGTAGGGTCCAGCTAGTGCCTCATGCTAACAGTAGTGACAGTGACCCCAGCCAAATGCAAAACTGGTGAAAAAGAGTCAGAAAAGATGAGGAGGGGAAAAAAATGTCAGTGGCCTCCACCTGTAAAATCATGCCTGTTTTGATGGTCGTCTCATTGTTGCCCCTCTAGTTCACCTTTTGTTAATTTCACTAACACCAAAGCAGCTGAAACTGATTAACAACCCCCTCTGCTACTTACCTAACCAAATTAATATCCCAGAAGTTTAATTAACTTGATGCTATACTCTGATTACAAAGTGTCCTTTAACTTTTTTGAGTAGTGTATTATATCCGCCGTACTTTTTTGTTTAATTTCCTCACAAAGACTTGATAATAAAATATTACACAGAGAACCTCTAACACTGCCTTAAAACACCATGACAATCCAGAACATAATTTAAAAAAAAGTTAAAATAGTAAAAGGAAATAGAGAAAACATTTTTTGACAATACAAACAAACATTTGCATCCTAAACAGAGAAACTATGATGGAGAAATAATTAAAGAAGAACTATATGCCTTTTTACCTGGGTCTTTATCCAAAAAATAAATATCAGAGTATGAAATATTTATTCTGGGTATCAATTTTAGTTGAATTATGGATTGCTAAATAATAAAAAAAACACCAATCTAAGATTATCATCTTACTTCATGTGCAAAGAAAAACATATTTTTTTTACTGTAAAGGGTTTGTTGTTTGACAGAAAACAAAATTATTTTTTCTTCTGGTGGCTCTTTGAGATTATTTAATTATAGGGGTTCTGTTAACCTGCAAGCATATTAAGAATTTGCACAATGTTTAATCCATTCAGTTAATTTCAGTGGTTCTCACTAGTTCCCTAGTCTGACTCTTCATCACATTTCATTACTTAATATGTGATCTTCAACATTTTCATGGAACAGTCTGCTAAAGTTTTCTGTTGATTTGAAATTCAAGTCTTTTCAAGTCTATTTAATTTTGTAAGAGAGTTGCAATATATTACTGCTGATGGTATGATGTTTTTTGTGTGTAATAAAAGAACAAAAAGCAAATAAGATGTTTTATAAATGTCTGTTTGGATATTGAAAGCATGTAAGGGGCTGTGAAATATATATGAAGTTAAAAAATACTTTTTTAGCAACTGAATGAAAATTGAACATATCTTTTAGAATTAAACTGATTAGAATTAACCCGGAGTTGGGTCATGATCTTGGCACTGATGACTGGCTTAATGGTTCATTCCATTCACCTATCTAGCTGCGCCTAGTTTCCCATCACTGTTCATCTTTTTCACCTGCTCTAGTCTCTATTTAAACTGCTTGCTCCCAGTCACCAGTGCCAGATTATTCTCGAGCTTTCAATGAGAGTTCTCTACCATACCTGTTTTTCTGATTGATTGCCTGATCCTGACCTGTTCTGCCCTTGGATCTTTAAACGCACCTGTTCCTGTTTTGGATTTGTTTGCCTGACCTGTCCTGCTGGTTTCTACCTGGTTTCTCACCCCTCCTTCTTCCGGGCACAGACTGAAGTCTAAAACCAGAGATTTCGGTCTTTGATGCTCTAGCTGCTGAGTTGTAGATCCCATAATAAACACTTTTGTGAATCACACCTATGTGTCTGCATCAAATTCTGGGTCCTCAGTTCTAAACCTCCACAGTTTGAGTCATAAGAGTAAATTATTAAAAATGAAACTGCATTTTAATCTCTTGTAAAGGATATAAAATGTACCTAGATACCATTCAGATTCTAATCAATATACAAGCTAACCCATTCATGTTTCTCTTACATATCAGTTACTACCTTCTGTTCTTGAAGTAATTAGTTTTTCTTGGTAGAAAGGTTCTCACACTGTTCATTCTAAATAGAGAAATGGACGTGGTCTGTGCCAACTTGCAAAATAAAAAATAATAATTCAGAGGTTCACAACCATTCACAGTGACAGGGATTCAGGAAGCCTTTTAAATAAATGAAAACATATCTTACTCAGTAGATTCCTGTGTTTGTTTTTTCAAACAGAGGATTTATAACCTTGTAGACATAGTTTGGAGTAATATGGTTTATTCTCCTTGAGAAATGTGAATTTAGTGTAATCCACTCAAATCTAACCCATATTGGGAGGTCATGCACTTTTAATTGTGTCCAGTAGATGGTGCTGCAGGCTCTGCTGCAAGCACAGTCTCGTCCTGTAAATTACCCAGAAAAGCACATACAGTTGAAAAGTATTTTCTCTGTTTGGTTTCTTTACTGATCAAATTAAAGAGAGACTGTTTTGATGTTAACCTGGATTTAGTATGTAAGTAGTAAGTAAAGCATTTATTAAGCACCTTTCACAGAAAACCATCACACAGGGATGTAGAAAACCAATAACATTAAAATTGAAATAATACAAATAAAATAGAACGGAACAATCAACTTTGCAACACAAAGTTTTCTGAAAAATCAAAGTCTAAACAGAGATTCAGTCTTATAACTAGTTTGATAGACGATTAATAAAACGATTGACGAGCTGAAAAAGCAGAATGACAGTCATGTGAGGTACATTCTATGTCCAGCAGCTCTATGCTCAAGCTCAGCGTTGAGTTATTTTTCTTCTTTTTCCTTTATGTTGAACAAAGTCGCAAAGGTTTTTTTTTTCTTAGCTGTATTAGTCAAGAGGCTTTAAAAAATCTGTTTTTTGTTCATCCGATAAACTAATCAGCTCAAAAGGGTTGCAGAAGATGAAAGCAGAAGGCTGAGAAAAGGGTTTAATTAGATCCATAAATGTCATCAAATGAGTAAATGTGAATGTCCAACAAGATAATTAAATGTACAATTTATTTACTTAATACATTATTGAATATTAAACACTTTTATAGTTAAATCAATTTTCAAGGAAATTATTGAAGACACATTAAAAGAGATTAATTTATTCTGGGATAAATTTATTCTAAATTACCTCCTAGATCTTCTTCAAAAATAGCTTTTTGGTCTTGTTTATAATTTTAAACCTTGCAGCCTGCTGGTCCTTCCAACCAAACACCTCACACGCACTTTCAGGCATGTATATGTGGTGAGCTATGGTTTGAAACAGTCATTGAAGCTCACCTTTCTTTGGTTCTTTGAAAATGGCCAAAGGTTGTAAGAGAAAAAAATGTATGAAAAGGAAAGAAAGGCCTCAGAAGAGGCAGATATATCCCAGAATGCTTTGCACGGAGAGCTCTCCTCGCTAGGCTTTATGGAAAGCTTTATGCCCGCTGTCGCCATAGACTGTCGCAAACTGACAGCGGCAACTAATAACAAAGATGGCGCAGGCGGTGGAGGAGGAGTTACCTGACCAACGGGGAGCAAAATGCAGTGATCATCTGTCCAGTATATAGTCCCCGCTCTGTATAGTGATTGAGGGATTAAGGGGTTAGACCGCACGTTCAGACACAGTAAGCTTGTATGAGCTATGAGATCAGAAACTTTCAAACAGAGCTTGTGCATGCTGTTGCACGAGTTCATAGGCATTCCCTCTAAGGAGCGGGTACAGGGTTGTGCATGTGCAGCCAAGAGGGTGGGTCTTTTACAAAATTAGCAAAAAATCTTTGTGGAAAGGGGTTTAACAGAGCAGCTCTTTTATTTTAGCTGACACCTGATTTTTCAGAACATCTGGAAAAGGGGCTCTCCCTTTCTGGTACAGCGTTTGACTAGTTTAAACCTTACTTGAAGGAAAGGACAGTAAGGGACTTTAATTTAGAGACGGGATGAAAATCATATCCAGGGATCCTCAGGGCTCCATTCTGGGCCCCGTCCTATTCAATATAAATATGCTCCCTTTGATTCAGATTATAGCAACCAACATCATCAGTCACCATAACTATACAGACGACACATCAGAGAGTTGCCTAGATGCTTAGAACAGATCAATATATAAATGCGACATCATTTTTCTCTAACTGAATAAAAACCAAACAGATCATAACCTTCAGACCAAAGGAGGAGAGATCCAGAGTTGGCTCAGAGCTCCAGCTACTACAGATAGAAGCCACTGATTATGGCCGAAATCTTGGTGACATAATGGACTCAGACCTGAACCTTCAGAGGAACATAAAAGTCATCCTTTTATTACCCGAAGAAAATGTCCAGGATAAAAGGACTAATGTCCAAACAGGATCTAGAAAAATTCATTCATGAGCTAATTTCTTTAATCGACAGGTCAGGTAATCAACATAAATCAGGATTTGGAGCATCTCATGAAACCAGTGGAAAAAAAGGCACCTGGGTGGGGGATTATGTTTTTTTTTAACAAAGGGTCAGATGAGTTTGCTTTTTTCCTTAAATTATTAAAATTATTTGAAAACATTTTTTTTTTTCACTCAGGTTATCTTTGTAGATGCAAAATAACCAAATAGTGGGGAAAAAAAGGCTCTAACAGAGAAGCATATATCGGAGCACGGTACAAACAACAGAAAGCTCATTCTCTAAATATGATCAACATGGTTAAAAGGAAAATAATGGGTTAAAAGTCACTGAGGTAGGCAGGGGTCGCAGTAAACTCATCAGACCTTAAGAAGTTGATGGTATTCAGTCTGAAAACGTCCTCTAGGGTGTCAGTCTGAAACAGCTCTCTTCTCTATCCTTCATCAGGCGGTGAGTACATATGACAACATTTATTAACTTCCCAAACTTCACACAAAGAAAATAGCAACCGCCTTGTAAATACAAATTATACCATTTGTTCTGAGGTGATTTTATTTAATGCAAAGAAAATCCTTGAAAATGTGAAAAAAATAAAATATGCTGATTTTAAACTTCAACTTTAAAATATCTACAGTTTGCTTTATGTGCCTTAGAACATTATTGACCTTTATATATTTACAAAGGTACATAAAATATATTAGAGCTTGCAAAGAAACACTCTAAAATTCAGACTACTTCAAAGGTTTGCTCTATAATTATTGTTCGTTTTTGTTCTAATTAATTACATCTGTAAGTATGTTTATTTAAATTGCATTAAGAAGTGCTTGCAAAATTAAACAGGTGAAAGTTAATAAAAGTAGAATAAAATATGCACCATAAATTGTCATAAATTGCATATCATAAAAGCTGAGATTCGACCAAAAGCTTCTTGAAATAAAAATGTAGGGAGTGCCTCACACATATAATTATTCCAAAACAGGAATAAGGATTTTATTATTGTATTAAATTGGTTAGATTATCTTTAAATTATTATTGAAGGGAAAATATCTTTATGTATTACCTGAATCTCTTTAATTAAACTATTGATACATTTAGCAGAACTAACTATTGATTTCAGCAGCTTTAACTCGTGTATGGATGTTTTTAATTGTTGTCTGTTGTTCTATGTGCGAATTTTCAGAGGGAAATTTTAAGAGAAAATTAAGGTTTTCAGCTGGTCCCCAAATGATGTTCTTAACATGTAATAAAGTATAACTGCTGGGATAAAAAGTTACTTTAATTAATTAATTGAATGGCTTATTTAATTTAATATATCACAATTTAAGAAATGAGCTCTTGAGATGAAATTGTTAATTTTTAGTCTTTTTTTATTGACAACTTGTTTAATTGTAGACAATCTAGATGGGAAGTATTCTTTTTTTCTCTGGCTTAGAATGAACTGCAGCTTTTTCTGTTATGGAAAATATCAGCTTTAGATTGAGAATAAGAATAAATGAGAATAAAATAATGGACTAAGAATTTTGGAAAGGTAAAATAATATATAGTGTGTAAATAAAAAAAATTTTGATAACAAGCAAAGAATTAATGGTAAATAGAACATGAGTAAGTAATAAACATAAGTATATATTATTAAAAACAATGTATTTTTATTAAACAACCAGGGAAATTTTGAAATATTTGTTCTTTCCTCAGGTAGCGGGACCTTCTCTAGCATCATTTTCTTTGGAACATTATCTTCTGCAATCTCTCAATGCAGACATTTAGCTTTTTTTTAGACCATTTTACATTCTAATAATGAATAATAGCCAAATATAAATACATACATATATATATATATATATATATATATATATATATATATATATATATATATATATATATATATATATATATATATATATATATATATATATATATATATATATATATATATATATATATATATATATATATATATATATTAGGCCATGAACAGTGTTTTTTAGGCAAGATATTTATTTCTTTTGCATTTCTGATTAAGGAAAAATCCACTAAAATAGATACAATTTTTTTACTATGATAGCAATCAGCAATTTGAAGATAATTCTTTAACAAACTAAAACCCAATAGTAAGCAGAAGGTAAAATTAAAACATCTTTTGTGGAAAAAGGATTAATTTGGACTACTTCTCTTAAGTAGTTTTTAAAGTGGAACACCTGAGTAAATCCTAAGAATTCTAATTTAAAAGATAATTTGAACCTTTTATCAACTAACAAAGATAGTTTGACTGAAATATAAAAGTTTACTCTAAGAATATGAATATATCAAATTGTTATCATGAAGAGGTCAATATTTGGTGTTGGGACTGCTCATCAACAATATTAATTTTTGCAACAATACTAATCAAACACAGTAACTCTTACTTGTATTTGCAAATGTAACCCCCAGTCCTTAGTATTTTTGTTTTTTTATACTTTGTGTTTATGTGATAAATCAAGTACTGTCTTTAAAATCAACTCTCCTCACAGGGTTCTTGGTTCTGTGTGGAATAATGAAGGGCGCCGGTCATGTCAACGTTGCGATGATAGAAGACATCGGAACAAACGGGGTCTCTAATTCAGAAATTAGCACAGATTTGGACAGAAGCACACAGGCTTGTGGTTCCACTGTGAGCTTTCATAACATCCAGTATAAGGTTCATGTGATGAGTGGATGCTTTCAGAAAAAGAAACTAAGTCCAAAGGAAATACTCGTAGACCTCAAGTAAGTGGTCATGTAAAATCTATCTATCTATCTATCTATCTATCTATCTATCTATCTATCTATCTATCTATCTATCTATCTATCTATCTATCTATCTATCTATCTATCTATCTATCTATCTATCTATCTATCTCATGGTGTCCATTTTAAGCTTAATGACTTCTCTTCAGTTTCAATTTCCTAAAGAGTTGCCTTTCTTTTAGGTACTTATTCAGTCTGCAGTAGGGAAAGTGGATTTTCATTAAAATACATAAAACGTTTTTCATAGATGGCTGAGATCACAAGAGTCCTCTAAGTCTGTCAAACTTAAGATTTCAGCTAATTATTTTTGGCCAAATATAGCAACATATTTTAATAACCCTTTCAAGTCAGTTCAATCCGGGAGAACTTAAAGAACATTGTTCTTGTCAATTCTGCAGGATTTGGCTCATTGTATCCCCCAGCATGGCAGAACAATAGTGAATGGACTCCTACAGTAGTTCCTCTCAGATGGTATTAACGGTTACTGACATTTCCCATGGAGGAATGAATAATTTCACAAGTGTTTTGACCTTCACCTGCCACTCTGTTAATTATATTATATTAAACATGGGTTCTTGCATATAATCTCTCTAATGCACTAAAGAGCAGGCTGCCAGGGGAACGAATTAACCAGGATCACGTGATCCATCTCCGGAGTTTTATTCAGCCTTATTTGTCTTTTTGTTTCACTGACTCTTTGTGACTTTTCTTTAAGAGCTTCAAAGGATTTGCACTAGTTTTTTTTCTGGGTTATTCAGTAGGTTTTAACGTTTCTACCCTTCATTAGATCTCATTGCTCTTTGTAAGAAATCCTGTAAAGGAAATTGTTAGAAGCAAGGAAGTCGCTGATCTTGGGAAAAGCTTTGCAGTGGAAATTATATTTCTGCTTGAAGAGTTTTAGCATATAGGGAACAGATCAAAGTAGACTTATTTTGGTTAAACATCTCAAAAATGTTATGGTAAAAACTAAAATCTGAAGTTACTGGTATTTATAGATATATTTTTGTTAAATTTGCTACTAATGCCTGTATGTATGTGTTTCAGTGGGATTATGAAACCTGGCTTAAATGCCATTCTTGGACCAACTGGAAGTGGAAAGTCTTCGTGAGTACCGATCGCCAGATAAACTGAAAAACGCTTACAGAGGCTTTAAAAGCTACAACACAGTTAAAAATAGGCCAGTTATGGTCAAATGAAAAAGTGTTACACTATAAATCCCTTTTAAAGCTTTTTTCTACTTGGGGCGTGCTTTGTAGGGGCAATGGTTAGCGAACATGACCCATGTCTGGAGGCCTTAGTCCTCGAAGCAGGTGACCCGGATTTGAATCCGTTCTGTCAGCCGACAGTCCATAAAAAAAAAAAGCGATCCACCAGTGCTGTAAAAACTTTAAAAAAAGAGGTTTTCTACTTTAATTCTGGTAAATGTAAACAACAATTAACCCAAATGACTTCTGTTAAAATGAAAAATTTGAAGAAAACAAAAAGATAGATTTTGAGGGAAATGCGAGGTCTTATAAAATCTTTTCAATAGATATCAGATGTATTGGTGCTTTGGATGTGTAAGATTGCAGAAAAGATGATGAGTTTGGTTAAAAGAAGTGATCACAATTATGCAAATTTCTCCAAAACGTCTCAGTAGCAACTGAAGATGATGCAGTAAGTGTTCTCTTCTCTAAATAAACAAACTTCACACACGACATGGGTTTTATCTCATCATGCTGAGGGAGTGAAAGAAAGATTCTAATTTTATAAATATGATGGAAAGCAATCAGTTAAGGTTTTTAATGTCAGTTGTTAAAATGTTAACAGTTAAAGAAAGCTCTGCAGACTGTATTAATCCACTGACTTACAGCAATCCCTCCACCTGAGCAAGTATATGATGACAGTGGGAGGATTAACTCCCTTCTTGTCGGACATAACCTCCTGCAGATCTGGCTTAGTTTTGAAAGGCATCTTCTACATCAGCTGGTTACAAAGAGGACAGAAACCTCTGTGATTCATGCACACAGTTTATTTGGAAACAGCAGTGGCTTCATATTGGCTAAAAAGATTAGCTCAGACTGAATATGACTGAAAAAGTGCAGATGGCCTAATTAGGTTAGGTGGAGCAGCAGAGCTTCTCTTAATAACTTTTTTTTATGTGGAAATGTTTATATTAAATACCTTTTTGAATATTAATGACTATTGTTTTTATCTAAAGCTTTTTGGATATTCTGGCTGGAAGGAAGGATCCTTTGGGTCTATCAGGAGAGGTCCTTATTGATGGAGCACCGCAGCCTCCAAACTTCAAGTGTCTATCTGGTTATGTGGTCCAGGTGAGTTAATTGTAAATATTTTTTTTTACTTGTAAATAAAAAGGGACACTTAACGGTCCTGAATGGTGATAATAATTAAAGGGTCATAGTGGTGCTCTTGGTGTTCTCTCCTCTCTAGGAAGATGCAGTGATGAGCACCTTAACTGTGAGGCAGAATCTTAGTTTTTCTGCAGCACTAAGGCTTCCACCATCTGTTCCACAAAGTGAAAAAGAAGATCGGGTCAATCATCTTATTAGGGAGCTGTGTCTCACCAAAGTGGCTGACAATAAGGTAGATGTCCATCACTGCTGCTCTGCTTTAGAAGTCAAAACATCTGGTTGGGACCAGCTAGTTTTTTTTTATATTCATATGCCTCTTCAGGTGGGCTCCCAAATGACTCGAGGAATCTCAGGAGGGGAGAGAAAGAGAACCAACATCGGTATGGAGCTGATTATTGATCCTGCGGTTCTGTTTCTGGATGAACCGACCACAGGGCTCGATGCCAGCACAGCCAACTCTGTCCTGCTGCTGCTGAAAAGGTGACAGAAACCCAGGAACCTAAACATGTATTCTCTATTTGTTGCCATTACATACAGAAAATTTTTGTTTTTTTATGTAACCCATAACTTCCTTTTTCTCTGAGATATAATTATGACACCATACAGACTCTTCTCTTCTCTCTCTTAAGTTAGAAAGATGTTTGTTCAGCTTCATAAGCCAGAAAAATTATAATAAATTATAAATTATACTGTTGTCTTTACAGTAAGAGCAGTAAGTAGAAGCTTTTAAAAACTGGAACTAGGTCAAACAACACTGGACCAGGGCTTGGGTTCAATCTGTCAATATAGAAACAAGGAGCAAGATAGTGAAAAATGAACAATATTCAAAGTTTCTTATTGGGAGACTGTATCCAAGTGTAGCCATAGCCACTATCTACATGGCAACTGCGTGGGAGGGGTGCAGAGATATGTCCTTTCATTTTACTCTACTGCAACATCTACTGCTTTGATCAGTAGAAGATAAGGATGGTGCTCCATGTCGTTAAGACTAGCGTGTGGAGTAAGGTACATGATCTATACAAGTATAGCTCTTTATTTCTTCTTCTATTGGCCTGGAGACATTTTCAAAGAGAAGATCACAATTATCTCTTAGAAATAACAGGACACTTTAAATACATATCTAAATGCCTTTGTTAGAAAACTGAAAAATTATCATTACTTGATCATTCTAGTGGGACAATTAGTAGAAATAACACAGAAATGGCTATAAAAAGACCAACACTGTAGAGGCTCTAGAGCAATAGTTCCCTAATCTTTCATCTTGTGATGCACAAAATCTCAACAAAAGGGACTATTGACACCAACTATTGGTTGAAAATTCATGCAATTCTACTAAAACACACCAGAGCACAACGACAAGTCAAATAACACCAACAGACACAAAATTTTTTTTTAATATATATTAAACCCTTTAGATAAAAAAAATGCTTCACCCTTTGCATCTTTGGGATTTAGTTAATTTGTTTTGGAGGACTTAGACCTCTTTTGTATTTTCAACCCAAAGTGAGGTCCTAACTTCCACTTCAGAACCACTGATCTAAACTGATTGTTTAAAGAGGAATGTTAAAATATCGCTCTTTCTGTATGTTCTAACCCTGTGAAATATTATTTAGGAGCATTAAGGACAAATTAGACTGTAAAGAGCAGGGATTTTAAGTATGGCGTTAATCCCTCAAATATTGTGGAAAATAATTTACAACAATATGGCTACACTGCAGTCTCAGACCCGAGTCCTAGAGGGTCTGTATCCTCCAACTTTTAGATACTAACCTAGTCCAACACATCTGAATCAAATTACTTATTTACCTCCACAGTTGCAGTGAACTTCTCCAAAGAACTGATAAGGACCTAATGATTTTATTCATGTGTATTAGAGCAGACCTACATCTAAAAGGGGTAGGAAAGTGGTGTGATAGTGTACCAGGGTACCAACAAATATGGTTTACTATGAATTCAAAACAACTTGTCAATTGCTTTGAAATCTTGTGGTGGGGCTTTAATGATCTCACTATGTGTTATCAGGATGGCCAGCCAAGGTCGAACCATAATCATGTCCATCCACCAGCCCCGCTACTCCATCTACAGACTGTTTGACACTCTGACTCTATTAGTTGGTGGGAAAATGGTGTATCACGGACCAGCCCCCAATGCTTTGGACTACTTTGCCAACATTGGTGATTATGGTTCTTCAAGAATCCAATTATACCACAATAAGGCCTGTTGCTGTTTACGATAGATTGTTGGTTGGGTTTTGATTTTCCAGGCTATCCATGTGAGCCCCATAACAACCCAGCTGACTTCTTTCTTGACGTCCTAAATGGAGACTTCACTAAGCCAGCCAAGGTTCATGACACAGCAGGTACATTTGCATACATACGTTACAGTCCACTCTGGACCATCAGAAACATCCAAATAAGGAGTGCTAAACTGCTTTTGCAAAAATTAGTAAATTGCTTGTGCTACTGGAAGCTGGAGAGCAGCTGTAAAAACCAAACGTTCCAAAAAATGAAGATGGAGGTAATTATATGTTTTAATAACAATGATAACTATGATGAATATTGTTGATAGCACACATTACATGTGTGTCTTAAAGTGTTTCAGTACAAACAAAAGTGAACAGCTCCTCCTCCGATTCCCCTCTGACAAAGATGGAGTCATGGTCAGACTTAAATAGTTTGACTGACCTCCACCAGCTGCTCACAACACCCAGAACAATGGAAAGCAGTGCTGACGCATAAAAATGATATACAACATAATGCTTCATACCTGTTAAGGGTAACAACTTTGTGATAGAGCCATAAAGTTTTTGTCAATTGTCATCAAAGTTGGTTGTATCTCTTTGAGCATTGTTTGCTCTCCTTATAATTTTTTTCATCCATTATGAACCAGAAATATGAATAGAAATGTGTCGATGCAATCAACTGGTTTTCCTTAGAAAGAAAACTTTGGATCAGTTTGACTTGATGATCTGGTGAACTTTAAAGTGCCTTGAGATGACATGTGTTGTGAATAGGCGCTTTATGAATAAACTTAATTGAATTGTATTGAAATAGAATGTGATTCTATTCTGTGTCTCAAAAATAAGTGGAATAGAGAAGATCAGAAGAAAAACTATCTGGATGGAAAAATAACCACAGCAAGAAGTAAAGAAGGAGGTACAATCACAGCAAAAATCTGAGAAAGTCATGTATTATTAGACAGGCTTCCTCAAGTATACCAAATCCAAAACTGTTGTGTAAGTTTTTCCTTGAAAAAGTTGTCTGAGGTGGTTAAAAATATAATCTGCAAAAATGGATAGGAAAGTTGAGTTGGCCTGCGTACCATTATGCTTTTGCTCGGCTGTGGGCCATACAGGGAATCACTTCCTTCTGTAAAAATATTTTTTTAAATAAGGGCATTTAATAAATATATATATATAAATTCATATATGTCTGACAACCTTGGTGGTAAAAATAATTTTTAGGCTCAAAAAAGACAAAAAAGGACAAACGCTTGGCATATGTTGTTTTATTCAAAGAATTATAATATATATAATATATATAATATATATATATATATATATATATATATATATATATATATATATATATATATATATATATATATATATATATATATATATATATATATATATATATATATATATATATATATATATATATATATATGTATATATATATACATATATATATATATATATGTAGTGTTTGCTGTTTATCCTTTGGCTCATTACGTGTTTTGTGAATGTAGAAATGGATTTCAGCAGTTCCCTTAGAATTTTCTCTCTCTCTCTCTCTCTCTCTCTCTCTCTCTCTCTATGTATCCAAACTAGATCTGACTTTTGAAGAACTTGGCACAACCAGGCAGAGCATTGAGGAACACCTTGTAGTCGAGTACAAGAAGAGCAGCTACTCCAGCGATACGGGAGCTGAATTGAGGCGTATTCTCCAAAATAAGGAATGTGTATCATCGCTTAGATCTCGCAGCATCACCTACAACAATCCCTTCCTTCACCAACTTCGATGGGTTTTTAAGAGAACCTTCCAAAACCTCATGCTGACTCCACAAACATCCGTGGCTCAGGTTAAATTCAGTTCTTCCTACTGTCTTGTCATTTTTGTCTCAAGAATACAACTATTTAATGATTACATTTTTTTTTTTCGTAACAGAAAACAAACTCATAGGTCTTTGAAGGGGCCATCTTGTGGCTCTCATTAGTCACCCCAGGGCAGTGAATGCTGTTAGAGGTCTCCTCTCTTTAAGAATTATTAACAGCTAATTGGCCCTAAATAGGTCAGAATAATCCCAGTAGAGGTGCTCTAGGTGGTATGGGTGCTCTAATCGGCTTTGGTGACTGTTGTGACCCTACTCCAGCCTCTTTGGGCTCAGATCTTAAGTGATATCATATCTGGCAAAAGCCCCTTAGGCCCAAGTCAGGGAGTCATCACATGATGGCGCCATTACTTGTCGCTTTTCATCGCCTTTGATTCCACATGAAGGCCTGATGGGAATGAGGTCAAGAAGCCTCAACCTCGCTGACTTATCCGCTAACCCTGGGAACCTCTCAGTCCTCCATTTACCTGCAAATTGTTAAACTTGAATTGTGAAGCTTTTCTTTCATTTTATTCTCCTTTTGCACTTATAATTTGCATATCATCAAACCAATTTTGATATCAGACTAAATTTGCCCAAATTATGATTTTATTTATCTAGGGATAATGCTATCCAAAATAACCCTGCTTCTTAAATAACGAATGAACTGTGTTTGACCACATTATTTTTTGTTTGAAATATTTTTCCTTAATGGCATCTTGCTTTAACTCTGCCCTTTGTACTCGGTATAAGCTACTGGATCCAGAATTTCCCTGAAGGAGTAATCCCAAGGGATAAATGAGGTCGAGTCTAAGTCTAAGTCTAGCCACATCTAGACCTGATTACTGTCAGACCTGCTCAAACAATAAATCAGTCAAAAAAAAAAAAAAAATGTCTGAAGTAGATTCAACAACAAATATAAAGATATATATTAGCCTGGAAATTGTTATGAAGCAATTTATAAGGCTTACAGTCTCCAGAGAATCACAATAAAATGTATTATCCACAAACAGAGAACAAAACAGGCAAGCATGGTTGTGGTTCTCTCTAGCAGATAATGCAAAGGATAAAACTCACAATTTATTAGGATTACAGAGGAGGGAATGCATAGACTTCAGAGTAAACCAAGGCTGAAAGCAACAAACAAAAGGAACTGTCTCCAGAAACGGCACTTACGTAATAAAAATAAATCAAACTAAATGACAATTTAGCTCCATAACTAAGTAAACAAGAGAAAACCGTAATGCAATACAACCTCCTCGCACTGTGACCATACACAGCATTTCAGAATAAGTAAGATGCAACAATGTGGCTGTTTAGGACAAGCAGAGAAGAGGGATGGCAACCAGTCCTCTTTTATATGCATCTTCCGCTGGGTCCACCAATCCGCCGTTTCCATTCTTCAGGAATCCAATCAGCAGTTGCCACCTGCACACTCAGATTTGCACTGATACAAAACCCTAGGGCTAGACCCGTATAAATGTTTTTGACCTTTATGCTGCAGCACTTTTAATTAAAACGCTTTATAGTGTTTGGCTACATCTAAGCAGAACAAAAATAAATGAGGAAACCTGCTTCTGTACAGGCTGCACTGTGATTGCCTCTCCTAATCTCTTCTGTGTCCAGGTGGGAGTCAATATTTTCCTCGCTCTCATCGTAGGAGCCATCTTCTTTGCAGTCCAAGATAATCAGAGTGGTCTTCAAAACAGGTCAGAGAAATGATCCAACATGTGTCTCTAAAGCTAAGGTTGTTTCTTAGTTTCTTTAAAGGAAAGTGCAAATGTTCAGCGTTAAACTAAAACTGTAGTTACATAGTTATAGAGTCCAGTCAGTGTCTCTGATTAATTTCAGAGTGAACAGTACTAAAAAGTCAATTAGAGCCCATAAAATGGCTCTCCTTTGTCCCTCTTTGTTTCTGTGCATAGTTTAGAGCAGGCATCCCCAAAATCAGTCCTCAAGGCCCACTTTCCTGCAGGTTTTTGGTGGTTTTTCTGCTCCAGCACAGCTGATTTTAATTGAAAGCTGAATAACAGGCTTTTGCTCAACTGCAATCATCATAATCAGCTGTGCTAAAGCAGGGAAACCTCTTAAACCTGGAGGACAGAGGCCCTCGAGGACCGATTTTGGGGATGCCTGGTTTAGAGGAAATGGGGGCCAATGTCAGCAGCCTGGTAAAGAAGGTGTGCATGTGGCTTAAATGTTCTGCATTCATCGCTCCTTTCTCAGTATCAACAACATTCAGCTACCAACAATGTGGAAAGCATAACTAATATACCCAGTCTGGTAGCAGTGCATCATGAAGCCGAGAACTTACTGTTTACTTTCTGTAAAAAAGAAAAAAAAAGAAAAAAAATCGAGCAATTTAAGACCACTTGATGGTTCTAGTGTATAACTTCCATAAAAATATACTCAAAAAGTTATCTATTATTTTCCTGAGAGTATCTGAAAGTACAAGAAACTAAAAAATACTAGGGAATGTAACCTCTATGTCAAAGACTAATAACCCTGGGCCTTTCCTGGAGCCTAAAGGATTTTTAATTTCTCCAGAATATAAACCATGTTCTCTATGGAGTGTTGGCCTAGTGGTTAGAGCAGTGCGATTGTGCTCTGAGAAGGTTGTAAGTACCTGGTTTGATCCACTCAGCCTGCACTCTGGGTCCCTGAGCAAGACCCTTATCCCCACACTGCTCCCCAAGGGGATGGGTTAAAATGCAGAGAGTGAATTTCCCCACTGTGGGACCATAAAGGGATTTACATTTACATGTTAGTAACCTGTGTATTCCATGAATCAATAAGTTCATTCAAGTAACCACCAAGTTTTGGGAAAGTTGTACCTGTATCTTTTCTTAAAGTACATTATAAGTTTCAGAAAGTATTTTGCATCCTACATTAATGCACTTGGAAAATAAGTGAGTTCAAGTAGGTTCCAAGAAGCTAAGATTTAAGTCACAGAAGGTACCTTGCAAGTTTCAGGGAAGTTGCAGAATGTAACCTCTTAGCCACTGAAGTTGCTGCACTTCATTAAATTACCTCTAAGCTCCAAGAAAGTAACCTTTAGTTTGAGGAATGAAATATTTAAGTAAAGGGAGTTTAGCATAAAAGTTCCTAAAAATAAAGTTTTTATTTTATGAAAGTAACCTGTAAGATTTATACAGCAAAAAAAAGAAAGTTCTGGGAAGAAGCATAAATGTTCCAGTAAATTAACTTGTTAGTTACAGAATAAACAACCAGTAAATTTCTGTTCAGTAAAAATAATCTGTGCTCATCTAAAATGTTTAGTTTGAGAACATTTTGGGAAATGACCTGAAAGTTTTGTAAAGCTAAGAATAAATGTAAGAAAATTGTAATTAAACTAACCTGTGTGTGTTTTTTAACATCTGACCCTTTAAATACCAGGAAGTAACCCGTATGTTTTATTAAAGTCATCTCTAAGTACCTTGGAAATTCTGGAACGTACCAAGTAGGGAAATAAGAGTTTGGCTCCAGGAATGCACACACTGTTTAATGTGCTGCTACCACTTTTATCTAGTGTGCAGAACTACAGAAGCTCTGAGCAACTTGAATTCTGGAGCCATGGTTGAATGAAAAAGGAATTATTTCTATAGTTTGCAGAGAATTAGACTGACTTTCCTCCTACTAACAGAGGCTTCTAGTTTTCTACAGATGGTGTATATATGGTTCTGTGGCTTCGTCTTGAAGTAGAAATAGTATCTTGTTTAATTTAAATATTTTTTATTCAATGGTTAGTTGATTTATGCAATTTATGTTGATTTATGATGTTGATTAAAAATCTTCTGAGGAGGATGATCACTGTTGTACATAATGTTCTTCGTGTTTTGAAGAATCCTTCTTTGTGAAATACTCTCCAGAGGTTCTTGAGCAGTTCCTAGAGCCTTCTTTATTGTTAACCTTGTTGAGGAAACATACAACTATAAAAAAAAAAAAAATCATAAAAAAAGCCACAATAATACTTTGGATTAAAAGCCTGCTGGGAAAAAAAGTTTGATTTAAAAATCCTGGAACTGTGGTGAAATGGTCAATTGGGAATTCTTACTGAGTTGTGGTACTGACACAAAAAATGTAGTTTTTATTATTTTCTCCATTTCATCTCCTCTTTCTGTCATCTTTTCTCCTCTTTAATCTTTTCTCCTGTTCTACTTTTATTGCAGTGTCCATATAATCTGTAAAACTCCCTGCATGAATCATAAGAAAGCTATTTATATGCATAAATCAAGCGGAACACTGTGGTGATAGCCATACTGCTCCACTTGTGAAAGAAAAATCTGTTGGGCTCTTTTTTGGCATTAACAGTTTAGGACACTAAAAAAATAAAGAAGTTAATATCAATGCAATATTGGTCTTCAGGCCCTTTACTAAAAGTTCATTTTAAGACCTCCAACATCTGCAATTTATTGAAAATGTATAAGTTCAGTGAACTATGATGGAACCAGGAGCTGCAAAAAATAAACCATGAAAGTAACTTTCCTTCTAAAATGGGCAGGAAATTAGTGAGGCGATGTGCTTAGGGGTGCCCCCTTGTGGGAAGATTGTGTTTTGTGTTTTTTTTTTAGGTTTACTTAAAATTCAATGGATTAAATAGTCAAACATCAAATAATTGAAGAAACTTTTCCAAATTACAGACAACACTCACCAAGGACTGCCCTCCCCGTAGCCTTTTTTTTAAGGATCTGAAATAAAAATTTTTTTTTTAGAAAAGGTGTCTGACTGCTATCTATCATTATTTGAAATGGGACCCGATGACTGCAACTTAAGAGAATGGATTCTGCTTTGTCATTCCCTGCAGGATGGGCGCCCTCTTCTTCATCACCACCAACCAGTGTTTCAGCACTGTATCTGCAGCCGAGCTCTTCATCGGAGAGAGGAACCTGTTTGTGTAGGTAGCCTTACAGGAAATCACCACATGTGTGGCTCAATGTTTGGACTCCTAAAATATGCCATCTGGTTCAAGGCATGAGTACATCAGTGGCTACTACAGGGTATCCGTCTACTTCCTGTCAAAAATCCTCTGTGACCTCATCATGCGCACTATCACCTCTGTTGTCTTCAGCATCATTGTCTACTTTTTGATCGGTAAGAAAGGCTCTCTGGAGTGTTTTTTTTTTTAAAGTCTTCTGGACCATATGCGTCTGAAAGTACTGATGGAAACCTTTTCCTCAGGGTTGAAGTCCACAGCGGAGGCCTTTCTCATCTTCACATTCACAGTGACTCTGGTGGCCTACACCGCCACAGCCATGACCATGGCCATCTCAGCTGACCAGAGCGTCGTGGGTCTGGCCAACATCTTCATGACCATCACTTTTGTTTTCATGATGGTGAGAAAAGCTGCAGTACAGAAAAAAATGTTTTAACTACGTCTAGTAGCTCCTTATTCAAACCCTTCCCTATATTTTAATACTTGTGATAAAAAATTAGGCTTTTTGGCTTTAAAAACACTTAAAATCCTTAAACTTTAGGTAAGCCATGTTAATTGGAAAGTTTAAGACCATGAAGATTCATCTATGAAGAATGAATCCTTCACCAAACATAGGGAACAATCTCAGTACATGTTTGAAGGAGCACATTGATCCCAATAACGTAACGCTTTCTTCTTTAAAATACAACAATAGCCATGTAATAACATGGTAATAACATAACAAGTTACACTATATTACTATGAAACAAGAAAAACATCATGGAGAATTTTAGTAATTGTTGTGCTTCAAGTTTTAGGCAAATAAGGTAAAGTTAGATTTCTTAGAATTCAAACAGGTATTGCCAGGTAAGTCAGTCATTGCACCGACAGCAATAAATTAAGGTGTTATTATCTAGTAAAAAGCAGTTTATTACTTGGTATATAACAGAAAACTAAACCTAGAAGACAGCAAGCCAAGCTTCTTAACTAAACTCTTATTTATATGTAACTTCAGTTCAGTTATATGCTTTATTTAACTGATCATAAGCTAAAATTTACTTTGTAAGCTGTTGGTAGGTGGTGGCCAATAACAGAAACTGTTATAGCAAGGCAAGGCAAGGCAAGGCAAATGTATTTGTATAGCACAATTCAGTACAAAGACAATGCAAAGTGGTTTACATGATTAAAATATAGGAAAATAAATCACAATCAAAGCAAGTAGGAAAAAATGTGGTAACCTAATGGTAATTACCCATCAAAAGTCTCCATTGTTAAATAGTAACATACAATTGTAATAATTACATGCAGGTAATTACTTTGAAATTATATACCTTCATTTTGGGGTAATTAAGAAATACATTTCTTCTTATTACCTAGTAATATAGTGTGACTTGCTATATTTTTACCATGTTATTACATGGTTATTTATATATTGAAAAAGAAAGCGTTACCCATAATTAAGGATTATATTATAATAAAGTGATGGAAGCAAAAAGGTATAAAGACACTGTTTCCACACTCTACTACTGGTAAAAAGCAGAATAATGTCTAAAAAAACAAACATGAATATTCAATGTATTCTCTGAGCTGAGTTACCCTGCTTACTACTTATGTATTGATCTTGTTATTTTATTATGTATTTGTTTAACTTTGACTTCTTTTTTTTATGCATAAAATGCTGGTTTATTCTGAGGAGCAATGTTCATTTTTAAAATATTGAAGCTTAAGTTATTTGTGGCTGTTTGACGTTTTTGCGCGACTGACTCTGGTTCAGAAGGCACTTTTTTATCCTGATTTCCATCTAGTTTTTTTCATAATAATATTTTCCTTTTATCTTTATTTCTCATGAAATGTTAGGATCCCAGTTTTTAGGATAGAGGTTGGAATAATAAAAAATCTGTTTGAAAGCTGTTAACAACTTTGCTTAAAAAAGAAAATTGAATCCATGACCAAAGCTGCTGATACACCTGTGAATTTTCCTGTGAGTCACACAGACGTTTTTCTTTCTTTGTTTTTCTTTTTACTTTAACCTAAAATAGACAGACATCAGCACACACCTTAAAACACCTCAAAAGCAGACTCAAAAGACCCCACCTCCCATCCACCCTCCCAAAGACTGTAGAGTCTGAAATGTAGCGTTTGACAGCGTTAAAAGAGGAAGCCTCTTATTTCTATAGGCTTTTCAAATCTGAATTAATCATATTTCTTAATGTAAAATGTCTTTGGGATGGATGAGACCATAATGCACGGCACATTTTGGGATAAACCGGTTCCGGATCCAACACGGCATATCACCACCCTCATCCCATACCATCTGTTACACACGATGGTAAAAGTATGCTGATGTGGGCTTGTTTTTCATCCACTGGACGTCTTGTCTAGTCATAGGCTGTGTCCAAACGTTCGCCCTAACTCCTAAATCCCTTAATAACCATATAGAGCGGAGACTATATAGTGGACTTTAAAGTGAACTCAGTTAACTGACTGTTCGGACAGATGATCACTACTTTGCGCTTCCCGTTGGTCACATGACTCTGCCTCCCGGCACGGTGCCTCCACCTCCAACAAATCCCATAGTGCTTTGCAAGATGAGCTCTCCACGTAAAGCATTCCAGGTATTATCTACTTATCTAGTGACCATGGATGATCACTACTTTTTAAGGTGCACTCTGGGAAAGTCCACAACTTTTTCATCCACTAGACATTTGGACACTCTTCTTAAATGGCTTAAACATTGTATAATGCTCTATATAGAGATTAGTGCGGACGTTCGGACACAAGCACTGAGTAAACCATGAAATCCTTTAGCAAAGTTTTCCAATGTGCCAGCAACTTTACGACAACTGAAGCTTGGTGCAAACCTTGTCTTCATCAGCACAGATGTCAGACATGACCTGTTAAAAGCCTTGTTTCCCCTTTGTTCCTCATGGAGAAGTGAGCAGAAACATATATCTACAAACCCCAATAAATTAAAGCTGCACCAGAAACAGCAGTGGGTTATAACTCACCCAAAGCAATGACAGAGACTTCAGTAAGTCATTCAATCTTCTGTTATGTTGTTCTCCATGGTTACCAAATTGCTTTCAAATTGGACGATAACTCTTTGGTGCTTAGCTTCTTTCTATCAACCAGTCCAAATGAAGAGAACCCTAAAGGACTAGCTGAAGCTTATCGTCTGCGGATTTTGTCTGTAGATCTTCTCTGGCCTCCTGGTGAACCTTCCCAGCATCGTGGACTGGCTGGCCTGGCTGAAGTACTTCAGTATTCCTCGATACGGCTTTGCAGTAAGTTTTTCCTTCGAACCATGTTTACAGCTGTAATGCTCAGGTTTTCCCAACATCAGACTTCATTTAAAAATCTGTTATGATTTCTTGGTTTTAACATCAAATTATGGTCATATTCAGGCCCTGAAGATCAACGAGTTTGTGGGTTTGAAGTTTTGTCAGGCGACCAATACGTCTGCAGTGATGGCCAACAGTGGCGTTAGCTCAGCGGGCCAGATGTGAGTAAACCATCCACATCCACAGGAATCCTAGTGGATAATACGGTAAATTCTGGTTTTATCTTTCGACTGTGTCCTTTCAGGTGTACAGGAGAACAGTACCTGGACTACCTGGGAATAGAGTCCAGCTCCTGGGGACTGTGGGAGAACCATGTGGCTTTGACCGTCATGATGGTCGTATTCCTCCTCATCGCCTACCTGAAGCTCCGCTACATCAGGAAGTTCACCTAAAGTGGATTCTGGGTTTAACTGTAACACATTACCCATGAAAAAATCCCTTCTTGAAACGGTGTGAAATAAATGTGTCCAAATGTAATGTGTCACAGTGAAGGTTAAATTACTAATTTATTACTGTTTACAGACACCATTGGGTTCAGGTTGGTTCAGGACGGTGCGGTAAAAAAAGGAGAGGCCTCATTATCTGCTTTCACCTTTTTTCTTTGTTAGTTTTTTTGTTACAGTTTAAAAATATATATATCAGACAAAGAAAAAGCATAATAAATACAGAATCCAGTAATTTGATGAATATTGTTTTGTTTTGTTTTTTTCGCTAAAGTAAACTTTCCTAATGAAATGAGTCGACAGAAAAGGAGTTTTCTCCGTAGTGTGTCTGGGCTCTCCCTTAGAGATAGGGAGAGGAGCTTAGTCATTCGGGGAGGACCGAGAGCTGCTGCTCCTCCACATCGAGAGGAGCCAGTTGAGGTGGCTCAGGCAACTGATTAAGATGCCTCCTGGACATCTCCCTGGTGAGGTGATCTGGGCACGTCCCACCATTAGGAGGCCCAGGGGGAGACCCAGGAAACGCTGGAGGGACTATGTTTCTCGACTAGCCTGGAAGCACCTTCGGGTTCTCCTGGAGAGGCTGGCCCTAGTGGCTGGGGAGAGGGATGTCTGGGCTTCCCTACTGAAGCTGCTACCCCCGCAACCCGACCCTGGATAAGCGGAAGAAGATGGATGTATGGATGCATGGATGAATGGATGGACATTAGAAAACTAGTGTTTTTTTTATATCTGGGTGCGTAGATTAATAACAAACTGTCCTTTACCTTATATATGAAATAAATCTGGTAAAAAATATTGTTTAACGATATATAAAGCAAGTTCTTAACATGTCTTATCTGACTAATAAGACTTAGACTTTTATTGTCATTTTGTATACACAGAATGTATAGAAAACAGAATTTCGTTTAGTACAGCTTTCCACACAGTAAATTAATATTTCCATTCTATAAAGTGCAGCAGTGACCAAAGGTAAACAGAGTGGGAGAAAAAACATGGTGCAAAAATCACATTGATATTGGAGTTCAGAGCATTAATATAAATGGTGTAAATATGCAGTATTTTTGGTTTGGTGTTATCAGTGTGATGCAGTCTGTGACATGATTTAGAGTTTTTTTTTAACTCTTCAGCAGTCTAATGGCGGTGGAGAAGAAACTGTTGTAAAACCTGCTGGACCTGCATTGATTGCTGCAGTCTCTTCCAAGAGGGCAGCAGGGAGAACAGTCCACGGTGTGGGTGTGAGGGGTCATTTATGATGTTACGGGCTCGGGACACAAAGCGCTGGGATGAAATGTCTTTAATGGAGGGAAGAGGAGCCCGGATGATCTTCTCTGTTGTTCTCACCTTCTTCCAGTCTGAGGCGCTGCAGCCTCCACACCACAAAGTGAGACAGCTGGTCAGAATGCTATCTATGGTGCTTCTGTAGAAGGTGGTGAGTATGGGTGGGGGCAGCTGGGTTCTCCTCATTCTCTGCAGGAACTACATGTGTTTCTGTGGCCTTTTGGTCAATGAGGAAGTAATTACAGTCCAGGTGAGGGTGTATGTAATGTCAAACCCCAGGAATTTGGTGTTGCTGACCCCCTCTAGAGGTGTTGCTGACCAGTGGACCGTGGTTAGGACGATTTCTCATGAGGTCGACGATGATCTCCTTCGCACTCTACACATTCAGGACCAGGCTGTTATCTCTGCACCAGCTCACCAGCAAAAGGATTTTAGATTTAGAAAGACCTCTTTTTTGACATAAAGTAAATTTAAAAATAGCATAACTGTGGAGTTTAATTATGAAATGTGGTTATGGGAACCAGCATCTGGCTGCAGATGTGCAATAATTTTGGTTAGACTCTGTGTAGAAGCATCTCCAGGATAGGTTGAAAGCTTTAATAGGCTTTATGAAACAGGACTCTGATCTTTTACTAACACCAAACATGAGACAAAAAAAACTTTTTTTACTTTTCATTACAAATTTTATTTTGAAAAACAGATTAAAAACAAGATTGTCAATCAGAGATTTTAAGGTAAATGCACGGGCTTCCCGTGAACACTAGTCGCACTCCAAGTTGAAGTTTGTTTTAAGTTACAATATGTATCATAATAAAATCATAAGCTGATTATTTCAAAGCTTAACTGATGAGCAGAAGATGAGTAAATATGACAGGAAGTCCACTCTTATTTATGTAAACATGAAATGTTTGGAAAATGTGGCAGTTAACAATCAGAGTATAACTCATACACAGAATATCTGATATGCTTATAAGGTGGTTTAATGCTATTATGCTTCATCCTCAGGTGTAGCTTGTGCTTCTCTCATCAGAATAACGCTTCTTGATTGGATAGATTCTCCATGCAGAAAATTAAACACATTCAGCATCATATTTGCTTTGAAAAATCTCCAAATTTGAAGTTTTGTTTTTCAAGTCTCTTTCTGGATTGGGGTCATTTTTAACTCGTCAGGTGTTTAGACGTGTGCGCCTCCATTTGAGCTCACGTCGAGGCCGTCTGCGGAAAGGGAGGACGGGGGACGAGCCCGTGGGCCCGCAGGAGTGTGGCTGACCTGGGAGCCCAAGTCGTCTGACTCCCAAAGCTCCAGCTCGTCCCTCACAAGTCGCTCCATCTGGTCCCTGTGGACGTCAGTGTCCCGACCCAAACGCTCATCCTGCAGGTAAAAATAGAGCATTTTTACACAGGGATGTAAGCACAGCTGAGCAGCAGTAGACTGTATGTAGGATGCTCAGATCTGAACAATTAAACAACAACAAAGACAGCAAAAAAGTTAAAAAAATAAATAAAACCCTTTACACCTAATGTCTGAACATGAGGCTTTTACTTGCCAGAGTGCTTTATGTATTAGCCGGCTGCTGGAGGAAATTAAGGAAAAAATTATTCTTCCTTCATTAGGCTCTGGTAGAAAACAGAATTCATAGTTCTGTCAATAACTGAATGTCATCCAGGTCTAAAGCAGCAGAGCCGCACCAAATCATCCCACTACCTCCACCATGTTGGGTTTTGGCATATTTCTCTGAAATATAGGCCGTTTGTCAATATGTGTACTTGTGCATTCTCGTGTACTAGTGAAACGTCCTTAGCCTTAGCCCTAGTACTGCTCCAATTCACAAGATCAGAAGTACGAGAACGGACAAAGTCCCCAGATGTTGTTCTCACCCCTCCCTATTTACCCAGCATGCATCAGAGCAGACTTGTCTGTTCTTGAGACTGACAGCTCTCCCAGCATGCACTGCGGCAGCAGCAGCTTTCAATGGAGCGCTCACAGAGCTCAGAGGATTAAGTTAAAAGTTTTATTTTCTGTTGTTGTTTTTAGATCATTTATACATTATACTTTAAGCGTCACCATTTACAGATTTAATGCATCAGTAAAAAAAAAATGTCCGAAGGTGAGAGGACCACGGCAACCAGCGAAGCTCTGAGGGCCCGGGCTAACCGCAGCCCGTCTGCAGCAGCCCTCTCTTGGTATAACCGTGTGTGAAGGACCGCTGCCTATGATGGCGGTTTATTTCTTTTATTTGGCAAAATGTTCAATTGATTTGTGTTTATCTGACTGTGTTAATTATTATTCCCCGTCTAAATGAAAACAGTCAGAATTCATTATTATCTAGAAACTATTAATAACAGGAGGTGAAATGCAGCTCCAGACGAGCAGAGCGTTTGGTGATGTCATCAGTACGCTTCTGTTCCAATTGACCGATATTTATGCTGAGTGCGCCCCTTCTCCCCAAGTCCTTACTTTCCTGTGTTCTTCTCAAGATATAATAACCGTTTTCCCCCTCTGTTATTAAAGTATAACCGCCGTCTATCACATACAGCGTCGCATCCTTCACTACATTTCCCAGCATGCACCACAGACCGGCCATCATGGCGGCGGCCGATCCAAACATTTCACCCGGTAATTTACACTAGTTCTGCAATTACAACGTCACCTTTCATTTAACATTTTACTTACTCACCAACATAGCGAACTCTGAAAGTATCCACTGCGTCAGCATCAGTATACATTCCGTAGTCGGCAATAAAACTTCCCAGTCAAGTTACACTTTCTCTTCCCTTAGTCCGTCAGAATACTGGTCCGTGTGGAAACACGTACCGCATCGGAGCCAGTCTCTTATTCATTGTCCCAGGGCATTGGAAAAGACTATTAGGGGGCAGGGGTGTTAAGTGGGATTTCAGTGTGTCTGATAATTGTTTGCATGATAATAAGTAGGTGAAATGGTAATGTTTGTATGGTTAAATTATTTCATAAATATGTATGTTTTTGTATGAATGATGATATTGTCTGTATTTATTTTTCTATAATGTTAACTGTGGTTTATTTGGGATTTGCCTTCCTGTTCAGTTGGGCTGTCCCAATTGGTTAATTATTGGTGGGTCTATTTAAGGGGCATACTCACAATGTCTTTGGAGGGCTGCTTAGAGGGCTGCTTAGAGGGACTGCTTGGAGGGCTGGTTGGAGAAACTCCTTTGGAAGTAAATAAATTGCTACACGCTTTTTAACTGGAATTTTGTCGTCCGCTGGTTCTTACCATTTAATTTTTGCAAGTCATCTGCTTACTCCTCCTCTGACGTGAGACGAGAGCTGGCGAGCCGTTTTTCTCACATGTGGTGTCAGAAGTGGGATCGTGGCGCCGAAGAAGTCTACGAAAAGGAGAGGAGGAGGAAGGCTGCAGTCAAGGTCTGCGATGTCAGTGGTCAGGCGGACCAAAGCTGACTCAATGGAGCTTCCTTGTGATGAGGAGGACTTGGTGGAAGAAGAGGGAGTCCAGCGCTCAGCTGATGATGCTGAGGGTGGAGCCACAGGAGGAGCAGCTGAAGTGTCCGGGGAGCTTGACCTGCGTTCACTGTACAACCTGCTACAGACTGCTATCAAGACCCAAGAGCATGAGTCCTACAAGCATGAACAGAGGTGGCGTAGCGTTCAGGTCCAGTTGAACAATGTGTGGGATGAGTTGGACTCTGGGCGAGAGGGGCCTCAGCGACCTGTGTTTGAAGCCGCTGTACCAGCACTGCCAGTCAGGCCACCAGTGCCAT